AGCTATATAGGACTACAAAACCCAGCAACAGTACATTATACAGCGCAATGCAGAATACCGCCAGCTATAATGTACTATTGCTGCCATTTGTTGTGCTCCTCTATAGCTGGTGATATTCTGCATTGCGCTGTAAAATGTACTATTGCTGGGATTTGTAGTCCTCTATAGCCGGTGCCATTCTGCATTGATTGCTGTATAATTATAAACTTTCCATTTCACTATATTGCACACCACACTTTTTTTTTTACTTCCACCGCTCCAAAGCTTGCTCCGGTGATGGACTGCAATCTCAATACAAACTAGTAGTCCATCACTGGAGCCATTTTTTAAAATGCATTTTATTGTTTATCCGATTAACCGATTAATCGAACTTAATAATCGGCTAACTAATCGATTTTGAAAATAATCGTTAGCTGCAGCCCTAGTGCCCAACGCTGCTTGCCCAATGTAGCTTGCCCAATGCATTTCAATGGAGCTGTTCACATCTTACAGCTCAATGTCACCTGTCGCTTGTAGCTCAAGCTTGTCGCTCGAACATGACCTATTTTTCGGTGGATTTTGCGCAATTTGGCCCAGTAGACTTCAATGGTGTAGCTCAATGTTGCACGAATTTGCGCAACTTTGTCGCGCTACGTTGTGCTACAGAAGTGTGATTTTTGCACAGAAATATAAGCAGGAAACAGGAAGAGTAATTATGTCACATCAAGACCGCTTTTGATTGGTTACAGCCCAATGTAGCAACTTCAAAGTCCCTGCCAAAAGTTGCGCTACATAGCGCGACAAAATGTGCACTGTCACTCTTTGTAGCTCAATGTCGCTCAGCTCAAAATCACGCTGAAAAACGCGCTTTGTGTCATGTCGCTCAGTATGAATGGGGTCGTAAAGTGGAATTCCTCTCACCTTGGAGATACGTCCTCTCACTTCTTTTCTGAAGGGCAGGAAATGATGGGAAATCTCCCCAACAGGACGGGGCCGACCAAAAATAAACTGACAGTTTTAACTATTTCCTACTCTATTCTAAAACTAATAAACAATTTTGGCTATGCAGTACATAGTCTTCAACAGCAGTCCTGTAACAGAATTAACTCTTTCAGCATTGCATTTACCCTTTTATACACCTGCAGCGCTAAAAGTTACCAACTCTTCGCTGGAGTGACACAACCTTGAGATGTCAGTACTGAAAACCACTCTTCAGATTTCAACCAGTTTTAATTTGATTTTAATCTAAAACCAACAACATTTCATTTATTCATATGGCACTAATTTGGGGATGTTGCCATGATCCATTCGGCTGTTTTTTGCACTGGTTGAATGTGATGGGAGTTGCTAGAACAATAATGAGAACTCCACTAGGGAAGTCAGATTGAACAATAGCTTGCAATACCAGGCTGCGGCAAACAAAGCGAGCAGAGTACTGTCTTGTATTAAGAATGTACTTTAGAGATAAAGCTATAATTTTGCCACTTTATAGATCACTGATTCGGCCACATCTAGAGTATGCGGTCCAGTTTTGGTCACCAATCCACAGAAAGGATGTCCTTCAGCTGGAAAGAGTCCAGAGGAGGGCAACTAAACTAATTAAGGGGATGGAGGACCAAAGCTATGAGACAAGGCTACTAAATTTAAACATGTTCACGCTGGAAGTGATGAGATTAAGGTGGGACATGATTTTGATGTACAAGATATTCAATGGTGATGGCAACATCAGCAATAAACTTTTTACTGTAAACTCCATAACAAGGACTAGAGGCCACCACCTAAAATTGGTGGAGAAAAGGATTTAACCACAAGGGGCGTTGGGGCTTCTTCTCAGTTAGAGCGGTTAGGGTCTGGAACTCTCTGCCGCAAGCAGTGGTATCGGCTAAGAGTGTGGAATCCATTCAAAAAGCATTTGAACAATTTCCTCAGAGACCGAAACATACAGGGGTACAGGTACTCTTAAAAACAAGATCACACAGGGACTCATACATACGCATACACATGCAGAATCACATACATACACGCAATAGGTTGAACTTGATGGACCTGTGTCTTTATTCAGTCTCAAATACTATGTAACTATGACCATGTGTCTATCCATACTAAGGCATGTTCCATTCAGTTTGGGGATAAGGGACGGATCACTCATTGGTTGCAGAATTTTTACAGCATGGAAGTGTGCTACTTTCTAGACTTGTTTTGCTTTTGGGAAATAATTGCTTTTATTCTTTTGTCAGGAATCCCTTTTGAAGGAGGCATCCGGTGTCTCTGTTGGAAGGTTTGTATCTTGTGCAATCTATGACTAGCTCATTTTAGGACATAAAAATCACAATACATCAATACTGAAAAATATTCTACAATTCTTTTCACTTCAGATCCTGCTCGACTATCTCCCCACAGAACGATTATTATGGGATTCTGTTCTTGCAAAACAAAGGTAAGGGAAACATTGGCTTTTAGTGCTGCTAACTGCTACTGGTAGACTAACAGGGTTATTCACAAAAGGGTGAAGAGTTTGGAGAAGACAGGAGAAGTGAACAATCTAGGACAGCATAGCTGATTTGGAAAATTTTCCAATTTCAGCTCCAGTTCAGCCATGTTGTCCTAGATTGTTCACTTCTCCTGGCTTCTCCAAACCGTCACCCTTTTTGTGAATAGCCCTGATAAATAAATAAGTGACTTAAATACCCTGACCCCCTATGACCCCTAACTTTTTTTTTTTTTTTTGATGGTATATGGAAGGATTTTTATTGAGGTTTGTGTCTTCTTTGGAGAGAATTTCCCTCCCTTCCTGTTATGTCACTGGTGCCACTTAGGACAGGAAATGGGGGGAAATTAACAAACAGTGTAGGGAAGCGTTAGTCTAACTGCAGTCAACATTTTTAGTAGCTTTGGATGTGGTAGGGAAAGATCTAAATCTAAATGTCCTTACAATAATTGTGAGGAAATATGGACACTGCCACTCCAATAGCAAATAGTACTTGTTCTGCCTGATAAAGGGGATCCTGTGAGACCCCGAAAAGTTGCATAAGTGTGTCTGCCTTTTTGCATGTACGTCATTAAATAGACGTATTCTATTTGCTATTGGGAGTGCCGGTGTCCATATTTCCTCGTATCATAGAGACGGTGGCCATCTGTCGACTACTGTTGGACCCACCTTATCTCGATGGAAACGCGGTTAGGAGTGCCGTGGGTTCATGGATTTTGACTTACAGTGATTATTTCCCTGAAAGCACTTCAAGTCATAATCTTTAACTTCCGACACTGACTATATACATATCGGAGTCTCTGTATTTTATCTGTTTTGTGTGGATTCCTCCATTCTTATCATACTTAATTTTGATTGACCGTTGTTTTGACTTTTTACAGGGAAACTTACACCCACTTCCTGAAGGAGATGATCATCCAACCAGGCATCGCCAAGGCCAACCATGGCTTGTCCAGAGAAGATGTCACTTTGGAAGACCATGTAAGTTTATGGGAAGACCATGTACTCATGGGAGGGTCCTTCCGGCCTCGCTCCCCCTCCACTGGCAGAGTCAGGCTGGAGGGAGTGCTGTGACAGCCGCTGGCTCCAAGGATTGGGTGAGTATAACTTTTTAAATTTAGTCCCTAGGCGAAAATGAGCAGATAAGCCTTGTGCTGGGGTAGCCCAACCTTGAGGGTTAATAAAAATAAATGTAAGCACTGAGTTGCATGGATGTCAGTTGCTCTTTAGATACGTTAAAGGGTCAAATGAAAGAAAATAAATACACACTGGTTTGAAACAATGGAGGATGTTGGCTTTGTTCACTCAAATGTCCTGTCTAAAACTATGGACAGGAAAAAGTGTTGCAAGGATATTTTATCAATAAAACGCCTTATTTGCATTTGTCTTTTTTTCAGCCTCTTAATCCTAACCCGGAAAGTCGGTGGAACACATACTTCAAAGATAATGAGGTGCTCCTACAGATAGACAAAGATGTCAGGTAAACAATTGTGATGTGTACACAGTAAAAAAAAAAAAAAGGAAATGTGTTCACATTCAGAGCTAAGTGACATTGTGCAAAGGGACATCCCGATCCATTGATACTCAATTTACCGGCGGTCCTCGCTTCTCCTTCCTCTGTTGCATCTAAGACCAAAATCCCATGTATTAGACACTACTACTACATGTGACAGTCTTTTGGAGTAGCAATTGGATGCTAGACCAAAGCACTGTCACGAGGAGGTTGTTTTTTGTTTTTTTTTAGGCAGTGAGAGAATTGGCAGAGGAGAGCTGGCAAGGCGAGTACTTGTGAGTGGGGAGGTCCCTTTACACAACACAGTCACATAGTTCTAAATGGGAGAGTTAACAGTGTCTCCTTAGCCCTCATTCACACGGGAATCGGCTGGCACGTACAGCTCCGTGCTGCGTGCAGGGTTGTATCGGGCAGCTCCCAGGAAGGACAGGTGCTGCGTGTGATTAGTACGCAGCCCCCGTCCTTCTCTATGGGACTACGCGGCCGAGGGCTTAAGTCGGAACTGTATTGCTTGTGTCCAGCCTAACTTTTCCCTTCCATAGGAAAAATATATTTTGCTGATATTTGTTGTCTATACGGCCCTCTGCCTTCATAGGCTGCCTATGTTTTTGTAACCACACAGGAGACTATGTCCCGACTTCTCATTTTTCCTGAACCCCACGGAATACCCCTGCCAGCTAATCATGGATCCGGAGAATGAGTATGAGACCCTAAGGAAACGTGTGGAACAGACAACGCTAAAGTCTCAGACCGTGGCAAGAAACAGGAGCGGCCTTACTAATGTAAGAACTAGCTCAGACTGGTACATCTGCATTTTTTAAATGCTTGGGTTGTTAACACACATTTTAATATTCATACTCAGTATGTGACAGTTTGCACACTGTAAAGAGAACCTATATTGTCAGTAAGTTAACATTTGGGCCATCTGTGTATCAGAAAATGTGATTTGCATTTCTGCTTAAAGGAGATCTATGAGGTGAGTGAAAATCACTCAGCCTCATAGTTCGAGCCGACGTGTGATAATGAAACTGTCACACGTCAGCTCAATAGATTGGGAAGTGAGCAAACAAATAGCGTTGCTCGCTCTCTTCTCGATCTTCTCCCTGCAGAGAGCTGTGACTGTCACTCGCGGCTCCCTGCAGGGATTCCCCCCTCCCTTGTCAGATCCTTCAGCACTGACTGGCGGAACAGGCAGGGGGAGGGGGCAGGTACTGCTGGCTCTGCCTTTAGATAGGCAGAGCCAGCTGTCAATCACGCAGCTGGGTGGATCTCAACAGTAATGTCGGGATCCGTCCCGGCTACGGCGGTCGCAGTTATACTGAGCTTTGGGTCACGGGAGGACGCTAGTTTGTGTCCTCCCATGACCCTTAGGAGAACTATGGGGAAAAACACTTACCCCATAGTTCTCCTTTAAAGTAGCAAAGCTGGGCCGATGCTGCACTGTTCAGGCATTCTTATGGCGCTGCTGTCAGAATGCAATGTACACAGTGGGAGATTCATTCATCTTCACTTTTAGCATGGATGGAGGAATCTGTCATATATTTTTTTTTCCTTCAGCCTTGCATAACTGCGTGTACCCAGCTTTAGTTTGCTAAAGCACTGTGTGTCATAAACAATAGGCCTTTTTTAAAAATCATTTTAATGCTGCTAATCTCCTGCATCCCCCTCCCGCAGTAGCTATACATCATTGCTTGGGACAAGCTTCCTAATAGTGACCATGTCTGTACAATAAGCATTAACATGGTCATTTTACTCATGTGGAGCTCATGTGACAAGGTGACCACACAGGATTAAACTGGGAGACAGGGAAGGAGCATTGTCACCCTATAACAAGTAACACCTGAACAAGGACCTGACAGGATTGGCAGGTATTATTGATAACTGTAGAATTAAAATATTGAAAATGACTTCTGAAATTACATTAACACATTAAATCTTCTATGAGATTTTGACAATTGGTTTACTTTTACTTTAAAGCAAACCTGTCAGATTTCATTTCCCTCTAGTTTCTGGTATCCTCATCCTAGTTAGACAGAGTGATGGCCTGGAAAAGTAGGCCCCATGCTCCTGCAGAAACTGCTTTCCTTCTGCTGCTGGATGCCGTCACCTTGGATGTTAGATCAGCAGCTACTGCTCCCCCTTCCTCCTGGCTGCTGATGGTGGCTATCTTGGCGCTCCCGCACTCAGCCAACGCACTGTCAATTGACTTTTCGCAAGTCTGTAAAGGGAGCTTAACACAGACCTTGGTGATTATAGTGGTCAGGAAGGAACCAACAACTGCAGAGAAGGATCCAACACACCCAGACATTCCCGGCTCCTGTCAATCTTACAGTGCCTAAAAGTCAGCCATATAAAAAACACATAAAAAAATCAGAGGGGCCAATACTAGTGTTAAAAAAAAAAATTGTGAAGTTATTATGTTTCCTCTTCTAATTTATCCGCACCTTAACAAGATAGAAGAATCCAATTTCTTTTTTTCCTCTTATGTTTCATGCAGGTGAGTTCTCCTATGAAGACATCAGCTTCTCATTCGCTGGGTGACCTGGAGCCGTTGCCCAGTGGCTGTGAAGCCCACTGGGAGGTAGTAGAACGAATACTTTTCATCTATGCCAAGCTGAACCCTGGCATCGCCTATGTGCAAGGCATGAATGAGATAGTCGGGCCAATCTACTACACATTCGCCACCAACCCTAATAGCACATGGAAAGGTGAGGGAATGCTACGGTGGCTTTCTGCCCTTAGTCTTAATACTGCTATTTTAGTCATATGTAAGTAGCTCCAAGTCAGTAGGACAACATTTGAGCAGTGTATGGCAAGCTTTAACCTGGTCATAGATGACTCACAGGAATCGGCTATAATTCGAGCTGTGGGTGGCCCTGTCAGCATTTAGAAATCGACTAAGCTGGGTGGAAAATGTATGGCCAAACGGTAACTGCATCAGATGCAGTCATTGTCCTATCAGATGCAGTTACCGATCCGGTATTCAGGCAGCTGTGGTGCTGCGGCTGTCTGATTACAACAGCCAGCAGGGGGGATTTCTCCATCCACACTGTTTAACATGGATGGAGGAATCTATTACATAGTTACATAGTTAGTCAGGTTGAAAAAAGACACCTGTCCATCGAGTTCAACCTATAGCGATATGGGGGGGGGGGGAAAGCTTAAAATGAACGCTATGCTCACAATTACTCACTGTTGATCCAGAGGAAGGCAAATCCACCCCCTATAAAGCATGGTTCAATTTGCTCCAACAGGGGGAAAAAAATCCTTCCTGATCCCATAAGGCAATCGGATATTCCCTGGATCAATGATCTCTGATGCTTTAATATACCTAATAAGAAGTCAATATCCAGTAATATTCTGTGCATTTAGGAATACATCCAGATTTTTTTTTTTAAATAATTGAGCTAGCTAGAACTAACTCCTGGGGGAGTCTATTCCACATTTTCACACCTCTATTCCTCCAGGCGCAAAGAGTGCCCCCTTGTCCCTTTGCAGTGACCTTAAAGTGAATAATTTGGCACCAAGCTCACTATATGGACCATTTATGTATTTGTACATTGTGATCATGCCCCCCCTTAGACGCCTCTTCAAATTCAGGCCAGCTAATCTTTGCTCATAGCTGAGCTCCTCCATGCCTCTTATGAGTTTAGTCGCCCTTCGCTGCACTTTCTCTAGTCCCACAACATCCTGCTTGTGACCTGGTGCCCAAAACTGAACTGCATTTTCCAGATTAGGTCTTACTAATGCTTTGTACAGGGGCAGGATTATGTCTCTATCTCTGGAGTCTAGACCCCGTATAATACAAGATTGATTTGTTTACCCCAGTACTTTGGGTATGGAGGAACATGTGATTTGCTTGAAACAGCACTAGTGCTTCATAATTGGCCACAGGCACCTAGAGATGTCACATGGGGGCAGGAAGGCCCCAGTTATAGGTAAGCTACAGGTTGTGACTTGGGGCTTACATGCTGCTTCTTGTCTTTTCTGCCAGTGGTAAGAATGTGCAGCTGAAGGGGCTGGCAATAAAGTGAACCTGTATCTTTACCCTGCATGGGAAAAACACAGGTTCACTTTAAATACTAAGATAATTTAGCTTCCAGTCATTTTCTAAAGAGAAAAGCACAGTGATTAGGATGCAAAAAGAGATTGCTTGCTTCCGGGTGCTTTCTAAGTAAACCTTTTAAAGGCAAATAGAAATGACAAAGGGTGGCTTTCTTGATACCTTACTGTTGGGTTTTGTAAATGTATTCCATATATTCCTTAAAAACAGAGCATGCAGAAGCAGACACCTTCTTTTGCTTCACTAACCTAATGTCGGAAATCCGGGACAACTTCATCAAAAGCCTGGATGACTCTCAGTGTGGAATAACGTCTAAGATGGAGCGAGTATACTCAATGCTGAAGGAAGAAGATGAGGAGTTGTATCTTAAGCTGGTGAGTCAGTTTAAACATTGTCTTTCCATACCATTCCTTCATATACAACCTCTTTATTATTTTATTGATACGAAGGACATGTTGTTATCAAGTTAGTTTAAAAAAAGTTACATATTAATTTTATTTTATACACCTTTTTTAAAAATAAAATACAGATGGCTTCTCCATAATTTGAAAAAAATGCGGCTAGCATATAGTTGAATCTGACTTGGTATTAGCCTCCTATCGTTCCTTGCGCAGCAGTACTCAGACTGGGGGACTAAGGGAGGTAGCATTAAAAGCCAATCAGGTGTGCTTCAGTGCATATGTGCTAACAAGTAGGGATGCAGCGATATATCGGCCGCTGAAACATATCGGCCAAAAATGGCACTGTTGGCAAAATGCCGAAAGTGCAATTTTTTTGGCCGAAATAGCGGTGCATCCCTTCTTTCTCTCTTCCCCTCTGGGCCCTGCTCTGTGTCCCAGCGGGGAGGAGAGAAACTGTCACAGGTGGCCATATCCAGCTTTGAGGAGAGCGCTCTGAGCGTCCGGCGTCTCTCCTCCCACACCGCTCAGCCTCCGGTTACACATCAGTAGAGCGTACGTGTGGGTGGAGACAGCCAGTGCCGGTGGTGGTGCAGGAGAGGAGTCAGCTGGCAGATCGCTCTCTCCTCTCCGCATCGCTTGCTCAGCCTCCTGTGACAGCGTGTCAGGATGGAGAGCAGGTACAAGCACTCAGTGAGTATGGTTACCTCGATGGTATCCTCAATTATGAATGAATGGGAAGTGATCTACATCACCTTCTGTTCATTCATTATTGTGGTTATAGTAAATACACTATGTCCTCAATTTATGAATAAACAGGAACACTCAGTATAGAGGATTCCTGTTCATTTTTAACAGGGGCTGAAGAAAAAGAGATTGAGGACTCTGTGTCCTCAATCTCTTTTTCTATTTTAAAAGGGAAATATCAGGGGTCTGTTGAGATCCCTAATATTTCCCTGAAGCCCCTAAAAGTAAAGTAAAAATATTTTAAAAATCACCTGCTGTTATAAACGATACCAAGAACACGGCTGCTGCAACAGCTGTGTTCTTGTTTTACTCACTTGTGCGGGCCGCCGTCTATGGACGTATTGCGGCCCGGAAGTGGTTAAGACTTCCTGTGTCCCTGAATGGACTCCAAGAAAAGGATCTTACAGTGGGTACCAAAATCCTTTTTGATGTTTCTCTGCTGCCTGAGCGGCCCTTCAAACCTGGGGGAGCTGGTTTACAGATGACTAGCTTTAGCTCTGCCATGCATCTTCTTTTCCTTCATTCTTAAATGTAATGTTCTGAGCTTTTGCAAGGGAGGAGGGTGGACATGCTGCAGTTAAGACTTTAGAGTTCCGATTTGCTTATTGATAGCCTTATGTTTGGGGAATCTCATGGCGTGCAGAAGGTTCCAGGTAGCAAATTTGCTTGGCTACAAGAAAACTGTCAGAAAGTCTTTAAAAATGAGTAAAATATGCCTACAACTCGGCATGATAATACGTATGGTGAAAATAAGTGGCAAATTTGCACTTGATAGCTTAACTGGGTGAATATGTAAAAGACATATATTCCCTGAAAATGTTGGTGCTGCTTTTGATTTTGCCTTTTTTTACAGAGGCCGATTTACTAAGAGGTAAAGAATCTTCACTTAAGAAAATGTGTAAATGTTTTCTTTCGTTTTAGAATCCTGTGATGAGCATACTTCTTGTTCACCTTTTAAAGGAGAACTATGAGGTGAGTGAAAATCACTCAGCCTCATATTTCGAGCCGACCTGTGACAATGAAACTGTCACAAGTCCGCTCAATAGATCGGGAAGTGAGCGAACACATACCGTCGCTCGCTCACTTCTCGATCTATCCCTGCAGAGAGCCACGACTGTCACTCACGCCTCCCTGCAGGGATTCAGGGATTCCCCCCCTCCCCTGTCCGATCCTCCAGCGCTGACTGGCGTGAGGGGGCAGGTACAGCTGGCTCTGCCTTTAGATAGGCAGAACCAACTGTCAATCATGTAGCTGGTTGGATCTCGACAGTAATGTCGGGATCCGTCCCGGCTGCGGCGGTCTCAGTATACCGTGAGCTGTAGCTCGCGGTATACTGAGCTTTGGGTCACGGGAGGACGCTAGTTTGTGTCCTCCCGTGACCCTTAGGAGAACTATGGGGAAAAACACTTAACCCATAGTTCTCCTTTAAATACTCAGTCATATGCTTTTCACGTGATTGGAGTAAAGATTCTCAGATCTGAGTAAATCACCCCAATATTCTTTAGTGTGTCTAGGATTGCAAGAGTCTCTTGGAGCAATTAGTGAGACTCTGTGATCCGGTCCATTTCTAAGGTGTGAATGGGGCTTTTAAGTGAGAATTAGCAGTAGTTATGTTGTGGAAGGATGGCTCCTATCGGCAGTACACTGATGCTCCACTTTGTGGAATTATTGTCTCTTTGCAGCAAGAAGAGAACATCAAGCCACAGTTCTTTGCCTTCCGCTGGTTGACGCTGTTGCTTTCCCAAGAGTTTGTGCTTCCTGATGTTATTCGTATCTGGGATTCCCTATTTGCTGATGAGAACAGATTTGACTTCCTTTTGAAAGTTTCCTGTGCCATGCTGATGTAAGTATTGAAGAAACTATTGGGCTAATGTTGTCTTGTTGTCAGTAACGGCAAATGTACTTGCAGGAACATTAAGCTAAGTTTTAAAGCTATTCTCTAGATACATGGCCTCATAAAGCACATTCATACAGTTTTTAGAATTGCACTTTATTTTTTAAAGCATATATAAATACCTGTTACAGCAGAGATGCCAGCATAGAACCAGCAGACCCAGGGTATCCAGAGCCCTTGATGAGCAATGCTTGTAGCTCTGTTCTCAACTCCACCCACTTCTAGGCATTGCAGTTGGGATTTCAGGGGGCAGGGTCAGTTGATTCACAGGGAAAAATGTCACGGACTCTGCCTATAGAGGTGAGGAGAATGAAGCCTTATCGCAATTATCAAGGGCCAGTGGCTAGCATATTCTAAGACAGAAGTTTTGCTGCAACAGATATTTCTTTATGCTTACATGAACACTAAATAGTTTACTTGAAATGTATCTAAACATCGGGCTCTCGAGCTGTCAAAACAAATAGCAGAGAGGTGAGGTGAGTCACTGCTGCCTCTCTGCTATTTTGAGCTGTCAAATACGGGATCGCAAATTGCGGTCCTCTATTTGCATGTAACGGCTTCATTCTTTCATTAATGAAAGGAAGAAGCTTTTACAAAAAGCTTAATTATTTCATTAATTAATGCCTCAATACTGAGACATTAATGAATGACTGTTAAATGCTGAGAATCAGCAAATACCGGCATTACAAAGCCTGATATAACTCGTCACGTACAGTGTACGTGGCCAGTCATATAGGCACAAAGTGACAAGACGTACACTGTACGTCTCCCGTCATGAAGGGGTTAAAGGATTAGTCCACCTAAAAGTTATATTTGATACTAGGTGCCTGGTGGGACGAGTAAGCTGTTGCCTTGCATACTTCTTAAGTAATTCCATAACTCCCAAGTCTGTTGCTTGCACGGCTCCCATTTTACAAACTGGTACTGCTCTATCACATTTCATTAGTAATGACACCTGTAGGAAAGAGCTACAGGGTTATTCACTAAAGGGTGAAGAGTTTGGAGAAGGCAGGAGAAGTGAACAATCTAGGACAACATAACTGATTTAAAAAGTGAGCTGAATTGGAGAATTTTTCCAAAGCAGCTATTTTGTCCTAGATTGTTCACTTCTTCTGCCTTCTCCAAACTCTTCACCCTTTTGTGCATAACCCTGTTAGTGTAGATTTGATGGTACTCTGGAGCACTGGCATGCATGACAGATTTTACCAAGTAATAAAAGCAGCATGGTGATCTCAGCTGAGAGGGTGTTGTAGAGTTTTCCTATTTTTTGTTGTTGACACTGTTCTCATTTGCATGCTGAATTTGTTTTTTTCAGATTGATCCGTGATCAGTTATTAGAGGGAGACTTTACAGTGAACATGAGGTTGCTCCAGGTGAGCGTGACTAAGAAAAGTATCCTGATAGAGCTGTATCTTGTTCTTAATTTCTATCCCTTCCACTGTCCTACACAACTACCACCATCTCCCTGTCGCACACAAAGTGTCTGTCTATCTTTCTCGCTCGAGCTTTCTCTTTCTTGCTCGAGCTTTCTCGCTCTCTATCATACACCCCTTTCACATTTCTACTGTCTTTTTTTCTCTCTCTTTCACACTTTTATTTCTTTCACTTGCTCCTTATCTCTCTGTTTCTTTCACCTTCTATCTCTCTCTTCCTCTTTTTCTCTTCCATACACCCCTTTTTGTTTTTCTACTTTCTTCTTTTTTCTGTTTTCTATCCCCCCTCTTTTACACTTTTTTTCCTCTCACACTCTACCTCTCTCTGTTTTCATTCTCATTCCATCTCTCTTTCACACACCCCTCTCTGTTCTATTTATCTTTTTACTGTTTCTCTCATTTTTTTTTTCTTTACACGTTCTATTACACTTTCTCCCTCTCTTTCTCCCTCTGTCCCTTTCATTGTCCCTCTTTCTCACTTTGACTCTTTCTCACACCCTCTTCTTTTTTTTTTTTTTTCAAACTTTTTTTTTTCTGTTTCTCTTTTATTTTACCCTTTTCTTTCACTCTCTCTCTCTTTCATTATCTACCTATCCTACTTTCTTTTGACTCTTTCATTTCCTGTCCCTCTAATTCTTTCTTTCAATTCTTTCTTTCTTTCTTCCTCAGTATAATGATTACTGATCTTTGTACACTCCCCCCCCCCCCCCTCCCAGCGC